TCGATTAAAATTTTGGAAACTGAACAAACCAATGTTCTAATGTCTAATATATGGTTGAGATTGTATGGCAGTACTTCCCACTTGCTGTAGAACGCCTTCTCTGTTCAAATGTTTATCTCACGGAAGCGAGAGATAGACGATAATTTTGACGGAATCAGCCGTACGGGTTGTTACTGTCGTTCGGAATAAGGTACCTCATGGTAACGTTTTCGAGGTTGCATGATTAGAAAACACATTCCGACTGTCAATTTCATGATCTGGTAAGCGACGCATTGATTGGTCTGATGAAAGGTCGTTCTGATGTGACCTATAATGGGATGTCCTCAGATCTTTGTTTAGGGATAGTGAGAACTAAGATCTCATTTTAATGAGATTGGGCTTTTGTCCCACATTTAGCAGAACGGGATGTACTTGAAGACTTGTACAGTACTAAACCAGATTTGTGTTCTATTGTTTTCTCTCGCACAAACTCAAAGTAGTCTTGCACTCTGTTTAAACCATCATTTTTTGCCAGTCGAACATGATGGCAGTTTAAACAATCTACTGTATAATACTACTCTAAAGACGTGAAGGAACACCTGATTCTTTCATACGACAACATCCAGTCGTAACTATAGGGGTCACTCATTAGCACAGATGTTTACAGTTATTTATGATATAGAGGTTCTATATGCTTGTTGTAAGTGGCTACTAACGGGATCAGGTGGTTAGGCTCGCTGACTTGGTTGAAGCATGTCATCGATCCCAATTGCGTGGAACGATGCTCATGATGTCAATCACTGGATTGTCTGGTCCAGACTCGATTATTTACAGACCGCGGTCATACAGCTAGAATAACGCTGAGTGCTGCATAAAACAACAACCGAACCAAACCAAAAATATATTTGCAGTTTGAACTTTTCTGGCTGAACATTGACAGAGATTGATGGTGAAGGACTCTGTTTATGATAGGACAAATACTTGACATGGTCGCAGTGCATGAAACATTTCCCCAGCATGTTTTTCCCATACAGAATTAAACATTGGCCTAATATATGACAACGATTGCATTGACCCCTTTCATCAACACTGTCAGTGTCAGTCATTCCTATCGGAGACTCCCCCAATCAAATTCAACCAATCAAAAGCACACAAACATCTGGACACATCAACAACATGAGACAAGAGAAACATTGGAGATACCAATATGATAAAATAAAGGTTCTTTTCTGAAATACATTTAGTATGATTTAAAAAGTTTGACTCCTTTGTTAAAGAACAACACACCAAAAGTATATAATATTGCAACCCTTTGTAAAATCGCAAATTTTAGTAATGTCTGCCATTGTTGCACTTCAGTTCTCGGTGACGTACGTCTGAAAGTACAGCTGATCTTTTTTGTATATGTATAGGTGTAATCATGCTGGAATCTTTTCTTGTAATTTACAGTTTACAATAACAAAACAGGCCATGCTGGACATTGATGTGGCTGGTCAAGAGATATGACTGCTGCCATGGTCTGGTGGTAAAGTGTCCGCCCAAAAAAGCAGAAGGTCGGGGTTCAATCCCCGGCTGCGTCATACCAAAAGACATTTAAAGATGGTACTTGTTACCCTGTCTTGCACTCGGCATTAATTGGCTAAAACAAGGACTGGTCAGCATGGAGTCAGTATACTGTGTCTGAGTGGGATATTCAGGTGAAACTTCGGCATGGTATCTCAGTGGGCGAGCACTCACTCACTCACTCACTCCACTCACTCACTCACTCACTCACTCACTCACTCACTCACTCACTCACTCACTCACTCACTCACTCACTCACTCACTCACTCACTCACTCACTCACTCACGTACCGCACCACACCACACCACATGTCGCAATAGTCTTGAACACGATGTTAAACCCCATTTCACCTCACCTCGAGGGCTATATCGGTACAGTACGAGCCAACACAGAAAGAGCTCATCAAATTGACATACCATTCTATCATTTGATAAGACGAAATCGTCAGCAGGTGTGTTATATAATTCATGATGTCAGAAAATGACAATTCTGGTTAATACCATTAGTAATTTCACACCAGTTCTCAATTCCAACACAAGTCACCCAGAATAAACTAGATGAGTTTTTGAGTGGAACTGTGGCAGCGTTCTGCTGCTGCAGCCAACTTGTGTGGTTCAATATCACAGGGAGTCGTGAGTTATTGGCTGGCGGCATGCAATAGGAGTGTTAACTGCACCGGCAGTTTACAAGATTAGAACTCCCTGTGGCTGCAACACCTCAATCCTGATCCTATTGACTTAACTGACCCATAGGTAGTGATTTTCATTAAGTTATTGTGGCATTTGGCTGGTATATGCTGCCAAGTGGCCTAATCCTCTAATACCCAACAATTAAGGTGCCTCTCTCTACTGCCTATTTAGCACTGAGAGTATTAAAATATTTCCAAATATCAGTCCTTGCATGTTTTTTTTTGGTCGTCTGTTTTGTTCCATAAAGTTTCATCACCACCTAATTTAACATCGTCGTGTGGAAAAGAATGGAGCAAAAAGCTTCATCTCTGAAGTAGTTTTGTTAAATTATTGCCAGCCTGTCTCAATCCATTTTCTTTCAAATAGATTTGGATTCCATTTTTGAAGTCAATTCTAAAACAGAGCCAATGGCTTTCCACAGCTGTTTGTTATCATGTGATCATTTGCGCAATTCTTTTGAGGTATTTTTTGCTTACATCAGTGAAATGGTAAAAGGTGAATTTTGAATAACACCATTCACGTGGAGTGCTGAGTTCCAGGAGATTCCAATGTGATAAGTTTGTTACATGGGATGTAACCGGCCATGAAGTAAGGAAACCATGAAGAATGTAACTTTACCACAAAGCTTTAATTTCTAATTTACATCGAAATACATAATTTCAAATGTCACAACACCATGTAAAGAAGGCCAGACAAAATTACTTACTTACTTAAGGAATATCTTTTAGTTTAAATGTCAAGATGAAGGATGGGAACCAACGCCATTTATAAAGAGCAAGAGGGAATCTTGAATTCTTAATAAATACAGTTATGTATAGAATTGTGTGAGTGAGTGAGTTGGGTTTAACGCTGCATTCAACAGTATTCCAGTTACAACGCGGCGTGTCAGCTTAATGTGGGAAGAAAGCCTGATGTGATGCAGGTATCAGACGTTTACCACTTCGGTGAAACCCACGAGCACGGGTATGGTGCTGACAAACCTTGAAACATAATCGGGGCGAACCGGGATTCGAACCCACAATCATAGGTTCTGGCGTGCCCAAGACTCATTCATCTGGGGTATTTTTAGTTTTTTATTTATGCTTTTAACTCTTGTTCAGACGTCCTATTGATATGTTGTTGATGAGTTAATGCTTGTGAGTGAGAGAAATTCTGTGTTTGGTCCTAAGAGAGATGGACCCACTCTTTCTGAAATGAGGCCATGGTGGGAAAGGTGAGTGAGTGAGTTTGATTTTACGCCGCTTTTAGCAATATTCCAGCAATATCACGGTGGGGGACACCAGAAATGGGCCCCACACTTTGTACCCATGTCGGTCCTCAGCGTGACGAGCGAACCCTTAACCACTAGGCTACCCGACCGCCACTGGGGGAAAGGAGTCCAGAGTATTTATCATAACAGAAGTGACCTATAATACCCTGGGCAACTGGGAAAATAAATCCTGTTAAGTAAACTTTTAATAATGCTTCATGTGTACCCTCGAGCGTGTCCACTTACAGCTATGTTGTCCTTCATTTCAACAGTTAACTGTGAAGGCCAGAAAAACCTTTATTGTATACATGTTCTAAAAATGTTTCAGACCAATTTCTTGATAACAAAATTGAGCAGGGTATTTGTAATATCAGTTATGATCAAAATTAATCAATGTTGATTGCATGTGAATGAGAATTATTATTTTGAAAGTGATTTTTTAACGTAGATTTTAAGCTACTTGTTTTATTTCCTTAACTTTGAAGTTGGTATTGAAGCATGTAGATTTACCATCCCCAAACACACAAGTGTGATAACCTCTTTATCATATAATGTCATTCTTTAATTCTGTGTTTGAAAATCGCTTTCCCTCTCTCACAAACATTACCTAAACATTGCGAGTTTTCCCGGAATGCATGCATTAATATTTATTACGTTACAGGGTAAGTGATATGTCAGTCGGACAGTGACACTAGCCAATATAGTTCCAACTGAAATCTGTTTCTTATACAATGGCGAAGCAACATCTACGCAAAACAACAATTGTTTTTACTTGCATTTCGTGGCAATCCATTGGTCTGTCCGCTTGAGTAAACGCCCTTTGTCAAAGGGAAGCTATTCTAACCCTAGTCTATGACACGTCATGGCCACGGTCAGATGTTGACAGTCTGTCTGTCCTATCATAACGTTAAGAAGTGTAGTCAGATGTACACACAGCGACGAAACGAAACCAGCTAACAATTCAAGCATATTTCGGACAAATCCAACTATTTTAATTTGTGGAGAAGGTTTCAAGCCGCAGAGGTCTACAAGCACAGATACAGCTACTGATCCCGTTTGGCTAGGCCTAGTGCCCTCGCAAAATTGTTTCGAAATTTATATCCCCAAAGTTGCCAAAACTTATAAAATGTCTTGGCTACATCACAGTTAGACACTGATTTTCAGCATATTAGACCGTCCTTATGATAATGATAGCAATTATCCTTGTAGTTTATCCAGATTCCCGATGGTTAATTCTGAATCGATCGTCGAATGACAAGATTGACGCCATGTTTGTTTATAAACACGGAAAGTAGTCCCTACTTGACCTTTGATATTTGCATCTCTATCCGCATATGACCCCAACGGATATCGTTTTTATCCGTTGGCTTTATCCTGCCAAGAAACCTACTCATATGATAAAAGCTTATATTTGTTTCTGAAGACAGCATTGTGTCTGTTTGGGGAACGTTATATTTTGTGTGCATTACTGATGACCTACCCTATCTGTCATTGTTTGTTTCTTGTTCAACAATGCCAGCAATATTCCAGCTGTGTTGGCAGTCTGTGCCTGACAAACTGGAGGTTGATGTTACAATGATCTACACTGTCTGGGTATGAAGAGACGCGCTCAACCAGGTCATCAAGTCACCATTTTCAATTCATTAAGTCTACAGGTACAAGAAGCATTGTTGTGGGGAACTATTCTACTCGGGATCCTCAGGGTCATTGTGCATCATTTCTACAAATAGGGTATCTCCTCATTAACCGGAGGGGGCATGGGTTGCCCATTCATCTAAGGCACCACAATTGGCTGTGCAGAGTTGCGACCCTTGGACACGCCACAAACCTTTGATTGTGGATTCGAATCCTGGTTCGCCCCGATTATGTTTCTAGGTTTGTCAGCACCATACCCATGCTCGTGGGTTTCACCGAAGTGGTAAACGTCTGAGACCTGCATCACTTCGGGCTTTCCACCCACATTAAGCTGACATGCCGTGATATAACTGGAATACTGTTAAAAGCGGCTTTAAACCCAACTCACTCACTCACCGGACCGCCCCGCCCCTATGATGTACTGGATAGAGAGCATCTATCTGGAGTGTGGAAGGTCGGTGGTTCATTACCCAGCCATGTCATACTAAAGACATTAAAATATAGTCCAGACTACTACAAACAGCCACACACCTGCACACACACATATCGCTATAAAAGTGCAGTAATCTTGAATATAACACAAACCCCATTTCACCTCATCACCTCATCACCTCATCAACCACATAAACCACAAGTTAGCCTGTCCCAGGTTATGCTCAAATACTGCTGTCTACATCCCTTAATCTTCGTAACAAATCATTTCCAGATGAATTAAAAAGGATCCAAATCTCTCAACTATCACCAAATTATTGCTGAAACTGTACTATTCTTCGCCAGAAGATTAAGATTCCTCTCGCTCCAGATTAAATCAACCTTAGGTACATTACCAAAAGAAGGACACAAGGGTAATCTATTAAATTGGTTCAGGCCAATTGGTCCCTTCAGAGCTACAGACCCAATGCTGTTACCACAGGACAACTGAAGTGATCACTGTGGAGAAGTTGGAGCTGATCTCCACCCCTTCTTTCCCTTTCTTTCTCCTTCTGTCACTAACCCGAGAAACTTAATTTGATTTAGAAACCACACCAGACGACAACCTCTTCATTTTGAGTTTCATGATCTTGATTTTAGAGAGCATAAAGGGGTTTGGTTCTTGATATAAATACCCAATTGTGACCGACTGAAAGGATTACAAGTTATAAGGAAGTGAAGGCAATTGTGGGTGACATATTTATACCTCACAAGTGCCTTCAAAGTCCAGCAGACTAGACTGCTAAATACATTAAAGAGAGAGACTTGTCCATCACACTCCATTTCTTTAAGTGATGCTGGTTAAATCGTGTTCAACCTTTATTGAGTCTGGTAGGTCACATGGTCCAGTGTTGGGCCACAAATAATGTATTTGTTGTAGAAACTAAAATGAATAGAATAAGAAGTTTCGTGTACTGATCTATCTGCAGTTGTCTGATTATCATTGCTTGTACTTACTGGTACAGCTTATCCCAACTGTGTAGATCAATGATCATGTCAATCACTGGATTGTCTTGTCCAGGCCATCTTGTTAACAGACTACCATACGGCTGGGGTGGTGGGGTAGTCTTGTGGCCTGGGTTCGATTCCCCACATTGGTACAATGTGTGAAGCCCATTTCTGGTGTACCCTGCCTTGATATTGCTAGAATATTGCTAAAAGCAGTGTAAAGGCAAACCAGGTACTCACTCACTCACTCATCATATAGCTGGAATATTTCTGAATGGGCAACAAGCAAACAGTTTTGTTTGTTTGTTTGTTTATTATTTAACGCCGCACTCAGCAATATGACGGTGGTCTGTAAATAATTGAGTCTGGACCAGACAATCCAGTGATTCATATCATTAGCTTCAATCCATGCGATTGGGATCGATGACATGCATCAACCCAATGAGCCTGACCACCCGATCCGGTTAATCGCCTCCTCTTATGACAAGCATAGTCCCCTTTTGCGGCAAGCATGGGTTGCTGAAGACCTATTCTACCCCGGATCTGCACGGGTCTCAAGCAAACAGTCCATTTGTGTTGTACCAAGTCCCGTACTGACACAACTTCTCTCTGTTTCTCTCTACCCCTCCCCCACAAACAAAACATTACCTGTGTGAGGATACTGGGTTAGAAATGGTCCTCATGAACCAAAGCATATCCGCTGAGGCCACTTACTCGAGTGGGTGGTCAGACTCGGTGACGATGTGGATGTGTGTCATTCTATCAACCACTGGTTTGCCTGGGGTGGATTCCTCAAAGGCCACTGTCATTTCTCAAAGGCCACTGTCATTTACCTGAAATATTGCAACATCAAAAAACAAACAAAACAATGACAAGATGTGACTTTCAAAGATCCCCTATCCACTAACCTTCCTACACTGCACACAACATGATGTCCCACCCCACCACCACTGGCAACCTGACTTACATAGATCCCCTACCCCACCACCACTGGCAACCTGACTTCCATAGATCCCCTACCCCACCACCACTGGCAACCTGACATCCATAGATCCCCCCACCCACCCCCACTGGCAACCTGACTTCCATAGATCCCCTACCCCACCACCACTGGCAACCTGACTTCCATAGATCCCCCACCCCACCACCACTGGCAACCTGACTTCCATAGATCCCCCACCCCACCCCCACTGGCAACCTGACTTCCATAGATCCCCTACCCCACCCCCACTGGCAACCTGACTTCCATAGATCCCCCACCCCACCCCCACTGGCAACCTGACTTCCTTAGATCCCCCCACCCACCCCCACTGGCAACCTGACTTCCATAGATCCCCCACCCACCCCCACTGGCAACCTGACTTCCTTAGATCCCCTACCCCACTGGCTACCTGACTTCCATAGATCCCCCACCCCATACCCACTGGCACCCTGAGCCACCCCTCCACTCGCATGGACAACTTTATTGATCCTCTTTTCGCCTCTCCTGACTTTTATAGACCCCCACCCTCAGTGACACAACGTGATCCCCTCCGTCTCTCCCACAGGGTCATGCCCGAAGCACGACTCAGATCGTGCCTGGCTTTAGCCCCCACTCCTTTTGACACACCTAGTCCACCCTCACAGACTTGATCACGTTCCAATATCCCACTTCTTGCAGCATGAGACAACGTCCACGGCAATCAATGGGAAGAAGGAGCTGAGTGTGAATAGCTCCTTCTCATTAATGTTTCACAAGCTGATTATTTGCCAATAGATGAGATAAAGACAGTTGATTAATTACCATTATCAGATCTGGCCCGGGTTGTAATGGGAGTGATTGAAGACTGCGTATCACTGTCCATCGTTATCATGTCACGACTTTCGACAGCTGATCAAGACTGATCAGGTAGACTCTTCATTGTGAGAGTCAGCGGACTTTTCCTCAGCAGCTGAGATATATTTTTTCAAAATCTTGTTGACAGATTTGTTGAAATCTGAGCCCTTCAACTATTCTCTTGTGTTGTTTGATTTTAATTACCATATTTTTGTTTTTTAACAATTGTGTTTTATGTTCTTCATACTGATTAGAATTCAGATCATATCTTCGCCCACTGGATGTATTTTGACCACACAAAATCATCAAGGATAATGCTAAATTTGAGGATAAGATCACCTTTTAGCGAACTATTTGATAAAAAGTGATTCATGAACACATGCTCATGATATAGTCAGAATCGGACTTTAGACTCTGCTTTTAGCAGCTTTCTTACAAATATTAAAAGGTTTTTTCGCTTCTGTTTGCATAACTTTTTGCTCAAATCAGATTTTTTGCTTTTGTTTGTGTGTTTATAGACTTCTGTAATATATTACTATATTAATGTCATTAATTTTCATATTTAGTATTTAATGTCTCATCAGCATGGTTTCAGCAACTAAACTCGATATGTGAATATGAATAACTAGATTATGTATAATATTGGTAATGTTTGCAATAAGATATGTTTGGTGTTTCAGAGAACATGATCTTCAGAATACTGCTGTTGCTAAACTTAAAGGCTCAAGTGTAGACAAACCCTTCTGAAGTATGAAGAAATGTGGCTCAGTTAAGCTGAAAACTTCAGACCTCATATGAATTGTTTATTGGCTGCCAACAGGTGAGAGCCTTTGTACCTTTGTATGTTATTCAATGCCAGACACGATCCTTCAGTGATACTCAGCAGAGCTTGAGGATACAGTTGTTATTCATTCTCTTCCTGTACTTCAACACAAGAGAACCACACACTCTTTGATGTCAAAGGTCCAAATCTTGCAGCGGAAATTGGTGAAATTTACTTCCACATAACAAGGGTTTAAATAGATTCTATGGTTGCGGATATATTACCTGGTGAAACTTTGATAATTGACAGCAGCATTTGGTGTAAGTTAGGATTGGATTCTCTGGATGCAGTCTGCATCTGTGAAGCAGAGGAAGTTGGGAGGATGTTTATTAAAGAGTTAAGGAAACGTGAATGGTTTTATGACTTTGTTAGTCCAATTTTGTTCTTAATCATTTCAGATATATTTTAGGGCATGTTGGCTAGGCAATAGGCAGGAAAACTATATTAGTGGGCCCAGGTGAACTTGGGTGTATAATGTTTTATTATATACTTCTGAAGTTTTCTGAAGTTGAGAAAAGTGATATTTTCATTGCAGTGAACATAACGCTTTACGGAACTATTGTCATACAAGAGGTATATCCCCTTAAATTGTCTCCCTTTGTCGTAAGTGACTTGTCTGTACACAAACTGTTGACGTTCTTTTTATGTTAGGTCATTTGGTCGCATTTGAATTGTCAATCAAGACTGTTCGTTTCGCAAAGTGCTATTTTTGTTACTTGACCAGCTTGTATTCTGTCGCTTTCAAAAGCGGTCTCCTAGTTTTCAAGAATATTTTTTTGTTAAAGTGGATTTTGTATATAATTATATCTAAATGTATGATAAAGAATTTTTGTGACCCTAAATATTTTTTGATACTTTTGTTTATATTCTTTAAGATTTGGGGGCGGTCGGGTAGCCTAGTGGTTAAAGCGTTCGCTCGTCACGCCGAAGACCCGGCTTCGATTCCCGACATGGGTACAATGTGTGAAGCCCATTTCTGGTGTCCCCCGCCATGATATTGCTGGAATATTGCTAAAAGCGGCATAAAACCATACTCACTCACTCACTCACTCACTCTTTAAGATTTTGCAAACATGAAACTACTTTTAAAGTCCCAAATACAAGAGGTGGTGAACTGTTCTTGTGTGTTAGGTAGGGAGAATTTACGTTTCAAGGTTTTACATTTGTAGTGAAATAATTTAATTTTCTGGTTGACAACTAGACAAAAAGTATATAATAAATGGGAGGACTGTGTGGACGTTTCCTTTATTATGGGTCCACTTGTTTACATTTTCTCAAGCAGGTCTTCAACAGTGATGTAACATGTATGGGTTTTGGACTATTGAACCTTCAATCAAAATTGCCTATTTAAGAAAATCCTTTTTCACTTTTTTCAAATATGTTAAACAGGGTAATCAATAAAACAGGGAGGAGAGGGGAGGGGGACAGTCAAAATGAGCTCAGCTTTGAAGAGATTAATCACTCTGAATGATTGCATGAATGTGAACAGTAACACATATTGTTACGCAAAAGAAGGAATAAGCTGTTAAATGTGAAGCTACACATGTGGGCCTACACAATGACAGTTTTACTTGCAGAGATGAGCAACCCATGCTTGCCGTAAAAGGTGACTATGCTTGTCGTAAGAGGCGACTAACAGGATCTGGTGGTCAGGCTTGCTGACTTGGTTGATACATGTCATCGATCCCAATTGCGTGGATCGATGCCCATGATATTAATCACTGGATTGTCTGGTCCAGACTTGATTATTTACAGACCACCGTCATATGGCTGGAATATTGCTGAGTGCGGCATTGAACAACAAACAAACCAAACCAACCAGGCATGCAAATGACAAAAACATAAGCTGTTTCCAAATATATAGAATTATGCATTGTTATTTGTCTCCAAAGACCTGAGATACATTGCATTTGTGCACGAAAATACTTGAATTATGAGAAGACCAAGCATTCCAAACAAAATTACAAGTTCTGCACATTTCCTTTTGGGTCATCAGGTCTGCATGTTGTTGTATTGTGTATGAACACAAAGTATACTACTCAAAAGAAGTTAAAGAACACTCAATGTTTTTCATATGCCTATAGTTAATCAGTCATGGCTGGCAGGTATTGCAACACACAGTCTGCCAATTGTGGATGTTCTTCAGCTTGTTTTGAGTAGTATATATTTCTGCAAAGTGCCTTTTACCCAGTTGTATAAGGTGCTTCAACTCGCTGTGCAGAGTTGCATCCCTTTGGCATGCAATATTGGGTTTGAATCCCAGTTCCCCCCAATTATGTTTCTAGGTTTGCCAGCACCCTACCCATTGCTCGTGGGTTTCACCGAAGTGGTAAACATCCAGGTTCTACATCACTTCGGTCTTTCCTCCCACATTAAGTGAGTGAGTGAGTTTGATTTTATGCCGCTTTTTAGCAATATTCCAGCAATATCAAGGCGGGCTACACCAGAAATGGGCTTCACACATTGTACCCATGTCGGGAATCGAAGCCGGGTCTTCGGCGTGATGAGCCAACGCTTTAACCACTAGGCTACCCGACCGCCCCTATCCCACATTAAGCTGACAAGCCTCAATATAACTGGAATGCTGTTAAGAGGCATTAAACCCAATTCAATCGCCCTGCAAATTTGACAAGTAACACATTCATAAAATAATTCAGACATTTTCATGGTAGGTATGTTTACATAACAAGCAATTTCATTTTTTGATAAATAAAAAAAAATTCTACAGATATGTATAGGTTTTTAATATTTGGATTTGAGCATCAAGGGATAATTTCCGTCTACAGTTTCCGCTAGACAGTTCCCGAGATGATGATGTGCTTGGAAGAATCAGTGAGCCATGACAGAAGTCTTGCCACCAAGGAACTGATAGTATGCTTATCTTGTTGCAGATCATTCAGAATATGACTTAAAAGGAATATTCCATTATTGTTCCAGCAGACTGTCTGCATGTTATGGCCTCTGGGACAATACCTGGTGCTGGAAAACAAGCAGACGTAGCCCGCTTCCCCAGGACACCCACACAGGACCACGGAATCGTCACGCTCACCACTCTAGTGTAATACTCACTGGTTTACAGTCAAAATATGTCATAAAATGTCGCTTCTAATATCAGGCCAGAATAAATTAGAGCTTCGTCTCTGCCTGCCTCACATCTAAACACTCCCAAATACAGATGAAGAAATGTTTGATCAAACTTACCATATTGGTAATCCTACCAAACATTCATACGTGAAGATCCGGGGTAGAATAGGTCTTCAGCAACCCATGCTTGCCGTAAAAGGTGACTATGCTTGTTGTAAGAGGTGACTAACAGGATCGGGTGGTCAGGCTCATTGACTTGATTGATACATGTCGTTGATCCCAATAGTGGGGATTGATGCTCATGATATTAATTGTCTCGATTATTTACAGACCGCGGTCATATAGCTGGAATACTGCTTAGTACAGCGTTAAACAACAAATCAACCAACCAATTAACAGACCGCGGTCATATAGCTGGAATATTGCTGAGTACAGCGTTAAACAACAAACCAACCAACCAATTAACAGACCGCCGTCATATAGCTGGAATATTGCTGAGTACAGCGTTAAACAACAAACCAACCAACCAATTAACAGACCGCCGTCATATAGCTGGAATATTGCTGAGTACAGCGTTAAACAACAAACCAACCAACCAACCCCTTCAACACACAGATGACTTGAACAGTTTTTTTTTCAAGAAAAGTTATGCATAAAAAATGCTTGCCACCTCTTTTTTTCTAATTTGAAGAAAGTCAAATAATTAATTTATTCTGGTCTAATCATCCTAAAGTTATTTTGTTATAACTTAATCTTATAATGAAGCAGGATTCTACAGTGAACCGTCTGGGATACAGACTCATGAATAGTCATCTCTGCTCATGTTCAGAATATGTGCAGTATGCAGTCCTGCTTTCATACCAGGACAGTCAGTCTTCCACTGGAAATAGAACCTGTCTGATTCAATTGTGTGTGATTCTACTTTCCCAGCTTTCTGGAAGGAGCTTTTGTACTTTGCATTGTGATACCTGTTATATATATGTGTGACAGTTTTCTGAGAAGTGGCACCAAGTTTCCTTAGTGACAGTAACAGCAAGAAATACACTGTTAAAATTGAATTGAACTGTTTTTCTATTATTCATTGGTCTTTGGCAACTAATACTTGTCGTAAGAGGCGACTAATGGCATCGGGTGGTCAGGCCCGCCGAATTGGTTGATGCATGTCATCGTATTCCAATTGTGTGGATCGATGCACAATCACTGGATTGACTGGTCCAGACTCAATTATAGACAGTGCAGCGTTTAACAATGACAAAGAAACAAAAATCATTCTGTCATGTGCAGCAGGTACCTACAACTGGGCCTGATTCATTTCTGATTCTTTTTCGAGGCAAATCCAGGATTCAAAGATGCAGGCACACAATGCACAAAGGGAAAAAAACACATACCGTATTCGACGTAATAAGCGCCCTGCTCTAATAAGCGCCCACGGCGATATTTGCTAATATATTGGCTAGTGAACAATACCAATTAGCACCCCTTCCGATTGATCAATGTACACAACACTTATTTATTTGCATATAATACGTACGTGTGTTATATGCACCCTTAATTAAGGGCATTTAAATTCTGGAAAAATGTATCTCTCATATATGAACAGTTCAGGCTGTCAGCATAAACCACGAAATTTATCTTTCAACTCTGTCTTTTTCACCAAAATAATATTCAAATAAGAGCCCCCTATTTCTAATTTTGAGAGCGCCCTAGGCGCTTATTACGTCGAATACGGTAATAGGTTTACATGTAACTCTGAAGAAAGTTTGGACTCTGGAAGTCAAAATAGTTAAGACGCTTTCAAAGTTTCATTTCATATTATTGCATGTAGAAATTAGCTCGGGACCTTTTCCTGCCAGTGAGCTGTTGTTTCAATGAGAACATTGTTATGGTTGTGTTGTGATTGTATATCACCTGCCATGTGTCTGTGTGCTGTGTGCTGCAGCACCTGAACCTGCCACTGGGACAGCCTCTCCCAGCTACAGTGCCTCAGGCCAGGAGCCCGACCCATCTCCCAGCTGCAGTGCTCCCAGCTACAGTGCATCAGGCCAGGAGCCCGACCCATCTCCCAGCTGCAGTGCTTCCTGCCATGAGCCCGACCCATCTCCCAGCTACAGTGCTTCAGGCCAGGAGCCCGCCCATCTCCCAGCTACAGTGCTTCCGGCCAGGAGCCCAACCCATCTCCCAGCTACAGTGCTTCCTGCCAGGAGCCCGACCCATCTCCCAGCTACAGTGCTTCCGGGCATGAGCCTGCCCATCTCCCAGCTGCAGTGCTTCCGGCCATGAGCCCGACCCATCTCCCAGCTACAGTGCTTCCGACCAGGAGCCCGACCCATCTCCCAGTTGCAGTGCTTCCAGCCAGGAGCCTGACCCATCTCCCAGCTACAGTGCTTCCGGCCAGGAGCCCAACCCATCTCCCAGTTGCAGTGCTTCCGGCCAGGAGCCTGACCCATCTCCCAGCTACAGTGCTTCAGGCCAGGAGCCCGCCCATCTCCCAGCTGCAGTGCTTCCGGCCAGGAGCCCAACCCATCTCCCAGCTACAGTGCTTCAGGCCAGGAGCCCAACCCATCTCCCAGCTACAGTGCTTCAGGCCAGGAGCCCAACCCATCTCCCAGCTACAGTGCTTCAGGCCAGGAGCCTGACCCATCTCCCAGCTACAGTGCTTCCGGCCAGGAGCCTGACCCATCTCCCAGCTACAGTGCTTCAGGCCAGGAGCCCAACCCATCTCCCAGCTACAGTGCTTCAGGCCAGGAGCCTGACCCATCTCCCAGCTACAGTGCTTCCGGCCAGGAGCCCGACCCATCTCCCAGTTGCAGTGCTTCCGGCCAGGAGCCTGACCCATCTCCCAGCTACAGTGCTTCAGGCCAGGAGCCCGCCCATCTCCCAGCTACAGTGCCTCCGGCCAGGAGCCCGACCCATCTCCCATCTACAGTGCTTCCGGCCAGAAGCCCGACCCATCTCCCAGCTACAGTGCTTCCTGCCATGAGCCCAACCCATCTCCCATCTACAGTGCTTCCTGCCATGAGCCCGACCCATCTCCCAGCTGCAGTGCTTCCTGCCATGAGCCCGACCCATCTCCCAGCTACAGTGCCTCCGGCCAGGAGCCCGACCCATCTCCCAGCTGCAGTGCTTCCGGCCAGGAGCCTGACCCATCTCCCAGCTACAGTGCTTCTGGCCAGGAGCCCGACCCATCTCCCAGTTGCAGTGCTTCCGGCCAGGAGCCCGACCCATATCCCAGCTACAGTGCTTCCGGCCAGGAGCCCGACCCATCTCCCAGCTGCAGTGCTTCCGGCCATGAGCCCGACCCATCTCCCAGCTACAGTGCTTCCGCCCAGGAGCCCAACCCATCTCCCAGCTGCAGTGCTTCCGGCCATGAGCCCGACCCATCTCCCAGCTACAGTGCTTCCGGCCAGGAGCCCGACCCATCTCCCAGTTGCAGTGCTTCCAGCCAGGAGCCTGACCCATCTCCCAGCAAGGGACAAGCTACACAAAGCCATTCACATGATGTGAATTCTTTGTCCATGTAAGAATATTCTAATGTTAAAGTTGTTTCATGAACATGGTGCCATTCCACAAATCAGTCTTATTCTTTTGAGAGTGGAAGATCAGGGCTTTGATTCCTGGCCATGTCATACCTTGTATGGTTCGCCCCGATTATGTTTCTAGGTTTGTCAGCACCATACCCGTGCTCGTGGGTTTCACCAATGTGGTAAACGTGTGAGACCTGCATCACTTGGGGCTTTCCTCCCACATTAAGCTGACACGCTGCGATATAACTGGAACACTGTTAAAAGCGGCGTTAAACCCAACTCACTCACTCTTACCATGTTTTCCTGCCTGGCACTCAGCATTAAGGATGAAACTAGGGATAAGGACTGGTTAGCTTGGAATCGGTATTCTGAGTGGGGTATCCATGTTAAACTGTGGCATGGTATGTCAGATGGCTAGCACTATAACACAAGCAGACACGTCCAAGTGCATAAATCTATCATGATGTTAAACCCCATTTAACATCACTTCTTATGATTATGAAGAGCCTGTAAATGTGTAAATTTGTACCTGACATTACCTATTTTTTCATGTACCACACTATTTCAAATGTATGTATTGTATATGGGCCAGTGGCCTTAGTACAAAAAAAAGACTTCTTCAAAAAGTATTTCTGTTTTGTCATGGCATGTCAGCATTCCAGTAATGCAGGAGTTCCTGAAGGGATGCCGGTCTAAGGTCACTTCAGTGAAACAAGGGTATGGTGCTCACAAACCGTGACTCATAATCAGGGAAAATCTGGGATTTGAACCCACAGTCATATGTTTCTTGAACACCTAAGGGATGCAACTATGTACAGTGACTTGTGGTGACTGGCCACCTCTGTCCCAGTGTGACCCGAGATGTTGGTGTCTGGGATGCAACTCTGTACAGTGACTTGTGGTGACTGGCCACCTCTGTCCCAGTGTGACCCGAGATGTTGGTGTCTGGGATGCAACTCTGTACAGTGACTTGTGGTGACTGGCCATCTCTGTCCCAGTGTGACCCGAGATGTTGGTGTCTGGGATGCAACTCTGTACAGTGACTTGTGGTGACTGGCCATCTCTGTCCCAGTGTGACCCAAGATGTTGGTGTCTGGGATGCAACTCTGTACAGTGACTTGTGGTGAATGGCCATCTCTGTCCCAGTGTGACCCGAGATGTTGGTGTCTGGGATGCAACTCTGTACAGTGACTTGTGGTGACTGGCCACCTCTGTCCCAGTGTGACCAAAGATGTTGGTGTCTGGGATGCAACTATGTACAGTGACTTGTGGTGACTGGCCACCTCTGTCCCAGTGTGACCCGAGATGTTGGTGTCTGGGATGCAACCCTGTACAGTGACTTGTTTTGAATGGCCATCTCTGTCCCAGTGTGACCTGAGATGTTGGTGTCTGGGATGGAACTCTGTACAGTGACTTGTGGTGACTGGCCATCTCTGTCCCAGTGTGACCCGAGATGTTGGTGTCTGGGATGCAACTCTGTACAGTGACTTGTGGTGAATGGCCATCTCTGTCCCAGTGTGACCCGAGATGTTGGTGTCTGGGATGCAACTCTGTACAGTGACTTGTGGTGACTGGCCATCTCTGTCCCAGTGTGACCCGAGATGTAGGTGTCTGGGATGCAACTCTGTACAAGGACTGGCCACCTCTGTCCCAGTGTGACCCGAGATGTTGGTGTCTGGGATGGAACTCTGTACAGTGACTTGTGGTGAATGGCCATCTCTGTCCCAGTGTGACCCGAGATGTTGGTGTCTGGGATGCAACTCTGTACAGTGACTTGTGGTGAATGGCCATCCCTTCCCAGTGTGACCCGAGATGTTGGTGTCTGGGATGCAACTCTGTACAGTGACTTGTGGTGACTGACCACCTCTGTCCCAGTGTGACCCGAGATGTTGGTGTCTGGGATGCAACTCTGTACAGTAACTGACCACCTCTGTCCCAGTGTGACCCAAGATGTTGGTGTCTGGGATGGAACTCTGTACAGTGACTTGTGGTGACTGGCCATCTCTGTCCCAGTGTGACCCGAGATGTTGGTGTCTGGGATGCAACTCTGTACAGTGACTTGTGGTGACTGGCCATCTCTGTCCCAGTGTGACCCGAGATGTTGGTGTCTGGGATGCAACTCTGTACAGTGACTTGTGGTGACTGGCCATCTCTGTCCCAGTGTGGCCCGAGATGTAGGTATCTGTGGGAAGCAACTGTTACAGTAGACTAACATTTAGTCTATGAAATATTACACAATATCCTTCTTGACTCTAAGGGGCGGTCTGGTAGCCTAGTGGTTAAAGCGTTCGCTCGTCACGCCGAAGACCCGGGTTCGATTCCCAACATTGGTACAATGTGTGAAGCCCATTTCTGGTGTCCCCCGCCGTGATATTGCTGGAATATTGCTAAAAGCGGCGTAAAACCATACTCACTCACTCACTCTTGACTCTAAAAATAAAAAAAATTATTTTCCCTACGCTATGGTGGAATAGATCTAGCTAGAGCTGGCTAGACTTGCTTTTGGATGCGGTTTGTTTTTCATATAATGAATATATATCCCCAGACATGGTGCAGGAGACTACTGTTACAGATAACCTTACAAACACGAGAAAAACCCTGCAGTGATTGGCAGCAGTGTTCTGTAAACCGAGAGAGTTAGGTCCAGGTCGGTGGATCACAGAAGACCTGATGCAACCATTGTAGATATAAGGAACCCCTCTTGGCAGTCCAGTCTGCTCCAGGACTTCATCCAAGAATGACACTCAGGGGAAATGTTGGATGGAAGTAGATATTACACTCCTTATGGAGCGCCTCTGAGAAAGTCATACACTCGGGTTGGAGCCCGCAGTAGGTGGTGTTGATGGCGCTGACGTTGAGGGGAGCTCTGGTGATGTGGACATTCTCGGGGTTTTTTTGCATTCTGTGCCATGCCGTAGATGACATCTGTAAGCAATGCCACCAGGACCTTCCATTGCATCAGACAGGGAGACAGAGATAGACCAGATCTTGAGGTACAGGCCAAATAGTTACAAATATGATCTCCCCCAAAGGATCAAAGGATCTCCCTCCTCAATGGTGCATGTCGCAGGATGACATGATTTACCTCAGTGTCGCTCATTAAATCAATATTTGGTTGTTGACTTAAAACCAAGATGCATGTAAACAATACAATTCCTGATTTATTGTCAATATCATAATGGCTAATGTCCACACATGCATTTGTCCCATCACAGAGAAGTGATGTTTCTGATTGTCCATGGAAGCTCAAATCTCACTAAAATCAGATCTTTTAATCTAATACAATATCTCTCTGCATGAATATCTGTTGACACGTCTACAGGAGGCCAATAATTTTCCATTAATCCAGTCAGCATCAAGGCTTCTAAAGTTTCAGAACAAGTATACCATATATTTTTGCTGTATATTGATCATGAATATAATTGAGTTCTGAAACCAAAAACATATAACTTTTCCTCTTTAATTTACTTTGATGGAACAATTTCACGAAAAACAAATCCACGAATTCTGTACCGAAGGTTGACATGGAAAAAATAGAAGTGGTAAACGTCTAAAACCTGCATCACTTCCAGCTTTCCTCCCACATTAAGCTGACATGTCGTGATATAACTGGAATAATGTTAACAGCGGCATTTATTCAGTATGTTATACTGTACATTAAAGACATAAATTAACCATGCTGACTGCAGAGAATAGTGAACATGTGGTGTCATAAGAAGTTTTCAGTGATCCAGTCATGTCACAGTCACTGCCATTCTGCCTTTTACACCAATGGAATCTGTTTTGTTGGAAAATCTAGACGGGTTATTCTCTGGCATTGACGCTTCCTATTTTGCAAATTTGTTCAAGCGTTAATGTTAACACAGGTAAGCCTTTAAGGAAATAAATGTTCAGCATTTAAATTTAGATTATTAATAAAAAAAATTAGTTTACTTAAATGTTTGAAAACCTAACACAATAACATCTACACTCCTGCAGCTACGTTCCACTCTGGTGACTGAAGAACACACTCCAGCCATATTGAAAGTGTAATTTTTGCCCACTGCATTTCTGTGTACAGAACTCTTCCCCTATATTGGAGAGCATGTAGACCGAGGCAACTTAGATGTGATTCCTTTTTTAAAGAGTTATGTCCCTTAGTTATGCCAGGATACTATGATCATGAGTTCAATCCCAGATTCACCTGATTAGGATTCTTGGCTTGTCCGAACCATGACTCTGCTTATGGTTTTCACCGAAGTGGTAAATGTCAGCATCAGATGAAAGACCTGCATCACACACAGATGACATGCCACAATTTAAATTTAATTACAACTCACTCTCCCTTGTCTCAGATTGAATATATCATGCAATATGTCTTTGCAGAAAAGTGCAGTGTGCACTAAATACATCAATGGTACCCACTCCATCAACGAAGCCGAACAGCTCAGGGACAAATACATTCATTACACTGTAAACCTGTGAAGATCCGGGGTAGAATAGGTCTTCAGCAACCCATGCTTGCCGTAAAAGGCGACTATGCTTGTCGCAAGAGGCGACTAACGGGATCGGGTGGTCAGGCTCGCTGACTTGGTTGATGCATGTCATCGATCCCAATTGCATGGATCGATGCTCATATTAATCGCTGAATTGTCTGGACCAGACTCGAGTATTTACAGACCGTCGTCATATAGCTGGAATATTGTTGAGTGCGGCGTTAAACTACAAACAAACAACCATTACACTGTAACGTGCATGCACATCAGTCTGTGATAGACATGCTCAGTGGAATAACAACAGTCCTATCACTAACATAGCTTTGTGGTACACATGCCCAGAGGAATAAAACTTTTAGAATCAAGCTGTATCGTTAACTTTTCAAGAGTCGTGTTACAGCCAGCATATAATTGTTACCAACTTGTGCACCCAGTCAAGTTGTAGTAATGAAAGAGTTGAGGTGATACTTTATGTGACTGTTTATGGATCAACTGACCCCATACA